TTTTGGTGTTCAAAGGAGACAATCGCACAATTTTCAAATAAATGGCAGACATATTTAACCCCTTTCCTAGCCTACCAAAGTGCATCTACATAATCATAAAGAGTTTTATAAAGTGAAGGTTAAACCGCAAAATTGGTGTTGCAGCACTTTTACATAAGGTTTCAGCTTTATGCTAGATTGGTACTATCTCCGGAGAATAATGTTAATATTAATTATGAAAAGGGTAGACTGAAAAGTTGTTTGGTTAGCCCTTCATTAGATCTCTGCAGTGCCGCAGCCAGAACTGTGACCATACTTTCGGAAAAGGGGGGTTGAACGGTCATTAACCCCTTAAGGACAAAGGCCTTTTTTTCATTTTTTGTTTACATTTTATAATCCACATTTTAGGCCTGAAAATTACTTAAAACCCCCAAACATTATATAATTCCTGAAAGCCAAGACCCTATAGAATAAAATGGTGGCAGTTGCAAATTTTTATGTTGCACGACTTTAGCGCACCTTATTATCAAACACCAACATCTAGTTAAAAATGCACAATGAAAGTTAAATTTAGTGCCCCAAAACACTATATAAAACCATTTTTTCTCAAATTTAAAAGATGAGGTTATAACGAGTAAATAGATAGCCAACATGCCCAGGTTAAAAATTGTGTGCATCCACGAAACTGCTACAGAATTCAGTACCCCAAAAAGTCCACACACAATGCTTTAAAAGCCGCTACAGGTCATCAGTTTAGAGATATGCATACATATTGGTCCTAGCATTATTGCTCTCCCTCTGGCGTGTGCGGAGATATCCAACATGTGTAGCGCAATCGTCATTTTTGTAGGTAGGCGCACCCGACGTGTGTTTACGTGGCGACGAGCGGGCTCGCGGGGGGACTTTAAAAAAAATTATTATTATTTTTACATTTAATTTATTTACTATTATTTTGAAAACTGTTTTTTTTTTAAACTTTACTTTAATTGCTATCACACAGGAGGGCTTACAAGCCCCCCATGTGATAGCATATTGGTGGTGACAGATCCTCTTTAAGGTGATACTGGGGGTCCAAAAAACCCCTATTATCACCTTTTTACTCTATATAATAGGCTATGGAAGTGCAGATCGCACTTCAATAGCTTATTGATGGGCTTCAGGAGCCCAGCAATGACAGCTCAGGGACCAAAAGTGATGCAATACGCGTCGCTCCGGTCCCATAAAGACGCCGAACCCGTAGGATGGGCCGGTCTAGCAGCCAGATGGGATCGAGGATTGGGTGAGTATTTCTTCTTTATTTGAGCCCCTAAAGAAAAACAAGCAGTTAACCCTTGTAGTGCGGGGGTTGCCCCACTGCAAGGGTTCACTTTTCTAAAACCTGGAGTTCTTCTTTAATGCGTTCAGAGAAATGTTTATTGCCAATATACACTGAGTGGCCAGATTATTATGACCACCCCATCAGTACTTTGTTGGGCCACGAGATGACTTCGTTGGGCTGCCTCATGACTCCACGAGATGTTGAAAGGTGATGTGAGGAATCTGACACTGCACTGTTGCCCTTCTGTTGTCTTGTGCCAGTCTTGTCACTCTCCGTTCTGCCCTAACATTGACTAGTCGCTAACGGCCACAATTCGCACGTTCAGACCCAGATTTTCGTCTGACAGTCCAGTCTTTAAAAACTTTAACAACAGCTGCTCTTGAATTCTGCTGTTTTGCTGGCTCCATGCGCCAACAATCATCCCACGTTCAAAGGCTGTTAAATTGCATTGTTTACCCATATCTTCAGAAAAAAATCACTTCTACTGTCGTGGTAAACAAGCTGCTTCCCTATTTATAATGGTCTGGCCCTCTAGCAACTTCAGCGCAAAATTATAGCTACTTATAGCTAGTTTTCCTACAAACATCAGGTGGTCATAATAATCTGGCCACTCAGTGTTTTGAGGGCAAACATACACATATATAACGTATATAGGAGTTTGGGAAGATAGATGATTTTAACTATATGTATATGCCCACTAGATTTAATGGAAGAGATTAAACTTAAAACATATGGTCCACCTTTTTTGGCAAGTTCACCAAATCTGGGGAAACTGTTCACCAGTTGGAGCACTGGGTTTAAAACACAATTTATACAGTGTTCATTTTGTTGACTAATCATTTTCATCATAGTTTTTGTCAACACTTTTTCAGTGACTAAACTAGACGAAAACTAAATAAAATCTGTAAGGAAAATATGTTGACATTTTAGTCGACTATCTAAAACTAGACTAAAATGTTAGGGAGAGACGAAATTGTAAGAGATCCAATCAGAACTAATCTCTTTGGGCTTCCATTTCCGGTTCCATACTGAATGGACGCCAATAGGTAATATGTGCAATGGCATAACAGCCAATATCGTTTTTTCATTTTAATATTTTAGAGTTGCACTTCTCCTTGAAAGAATGAATAATGTCATATGCAAGTTGTTATAATCCTCTCTTAGGGGCCGAACGGCAGTGAGTGAATAGCTCCATGGTGCCAAGCAGAATAGCAAATAAGTAAAAAGAGTGAAAAATTTAAAAAATAAAACAAAGTTAAGAAATTATATTAAAAATCATCCAAAATAGGAAAATTAAAAAGAAAAAAAATATTTTAAAAAAAGAAAAACAATTGGGCGGAGCTAGCAGGGACAGCTAGCTCCGCCCAACTGTTTCCTATTGGTCAGCACCTGCTGGAGTCTAGCAGGTCCCGGCCAATGAATAACAACTGGGCGTAGCCGGCCGTGACATCCCTCCGCCCAGTTGTTATTGTTTATTGACAGATCAGCATCTCCCCGCTTTGGCTGTCACTTCAGCTCAGTCGATCTGAAGCATATGGGTTCTTATGTGTCTGTTCGGGGTCTAAGGAGGCTGTGCAGGATCTCAGATGGGCTGTACGGGATCTCAGGTGGGCTGTGCGTGCGCTTAGGTTGGCTATTTGGGGTCTATTGTGGGATGTGCAGGCTTTCAGGTGGCCTATGTAGGTTCTATGGTGGGCTGTGTGGACTCGCAGGTGGCTATGCAGGGTCTATGGTGAGCTGTGCAGATTCTATTATGAGCTATGCGGGGTCTATGGTGGGCTCCCAGGTGGCTGTGCAAGTTCTGTGTTGCGCTGTGTGGACTTTCAGGTGGCTGCACAGGTTATATGGTGGGCTGTGTGGACTTTCAGGTGGGCTATTCGGGGTCTATAGTAGGCTGTGGGGCTCTCAGGTGGGCTATGCAGGGTCTATGGTGGGCTGTGCGGACACTCAGGTGGGCTATACAGGGTCCATGGTGGGCTATACAGGGTCCATGGTGGGCTGTGCGGTCTCGCCATGGGTCCCGGATCATTTTGTGGGTGGCCTGGATCCACAGGGAGGATATTTGCAGCTGGCGCTGTAAGCAGGCGCTGCAATTCACAGGAAGGCTGCCAGGACCCTGCTGGGGACTTCAGCAGCTTTCCTGTGAAGCCTGGTGCCTGTATGCAGTGCCGATTTCGGTTTAAAAATGTAAAGCACTGGTATAGGCGCATAATATCGCAGCATTTTCTTGAGTAAGAGTACTCGTAAAAATGCCTAGTATCGGTGCATCCATAATTATCATCCTCCCTGCACAAGGAACTGGCTAGGAGTACAAAAGTTATTTTAACTGTACTCCTTATTTTAACTCATGATTTTTTTCCATTCAATGCTTTCAATTCACAAAAAAAAATATTGCAGTGTAATCCTTATTATTTTGCATGAAATGGGCATTAATTGGCTGAAAGCCTTAATTTCTCATAAATCATTATTTTACCTTGTGAAATGTTATTTTATCACCATCTTAAACAGCTACTTTACTGCTTTACTCAATAGACACCTATTAAAACTCATAGTTATCACCATTCTAAAGCTAGTGTTGTTTTTAGGTAGTGGTAACCTGTGTGGTAATCTTTGTGAATTGGCTCTTACATTGATTTGAACATAACAGCCATTAAAATACCATGATGGTGTGATAAAAACACTGGTAGTGGTAAAACAGCACTACTTACAGAGCAGCCTATATAAAGCAAGAAAATAACATCTTAGGAAGAACAAAACTGCTTTGTAAATTAAGTCTAAGGTGTCTTTAAAATAACAGGTTTAAATTAAGGTGCAACAGACTGAAGCACAGCGGATATTGCTGTCTGCTCTCCGCTATATACTACTAAGTTAACCCATGCCAAAGCCTGCATTTTGTGGCCTATGCATAAACTGCAGGCTTAAAAGAGAACTATGGGGTCAGTGTTTTTCCCCATAGTTCTCCTTAGGGTAACGGGAGGACACAAACTAGCGTCCTCCCGTTACCCTAAGCTCAGTATACGGCGAGCAAAAGGCTCGCCGTATACTGAGACGCTGCAGCCGGAGCGGATCCCGACTTAGACGACGGGATCCGCCCAGCTGCGTGAGTGACAGCTGGCTCTGCCTATCTAGAGGCAGAGCCAGCTGTACCCGCCCCCTCCCCCGTCCGTTCCGCCAGTCAGCGCTGGGAGATCGGAGCGGGGAGAGGGAAATCCAGCCCCTCCCCCTGTCACGGCAGAGAGCCGTGACAGGATCGAGAGGTGAGCGAACCCGGTATGTGTTCGCTCACCTCCCGATCTACTGAGCCGACCTGTGACAGTCTTATTGTCACAGGTCGGCTAGAACTATGAGGTGAGTGAAAAGCACTCACCTCATAGTTCTCCTTTAATGCAACAGAGAGAACACAGTGACTGGAGGAAAGGCTGGTCACATGACTAGGTCAAGACCTACCTCTCCATCAAGATTTCTTTCCTTATTTATTCTAATAGTGCTCTCCTGGCTTCAGTGTCCCAAAGACAAGGGTGCACTAAGCTCCACTGTGCAGTCACAGCAACCGGTGGTTTTCTCTTTTGGGATAAAGGTTTTAAAGTGGACCTTTACTCCCTTTAACTAAAAATCACAAAAGCATTCAGCTCTGTATGCGCATGATGAAATCATCTTATATTCGTTAGGTAAACAAACATATTTTTCTTTAACTTACAATTTCTCGTTTTCCACTTCCTGGTTTGCTTTGGCAAAAATGGGGAAAGTGTGCCCAAGCATTTAATCCTGGGAAGAAAACATCAGCAGATCATTGCTGGGAAGTCTCATCTGTAATCTCACAGATCTCAGGGAAAGGCACTTTCCTCCCTTGAGATGATGTGCATGGTCACATGTCCTAGTCACATGTCTAGTCATGTGCCAGAGATCCAGGAAATAAAGGGAGATATAGTAACCTGCCCTTAGTAAAAATGGCCACTGTGAGAAGAATGTAGAGGAAAAGATAAAAGGTATGTAAAGAATAAAAAGCAGACAATTATCTATAAGTATGTGTTTGTAGATTGTCATCACTAAACATATCAAAAGGTGTATTTGTTGATATTTTGAAGATGTGGGTAAAGTTCCTCTTAGGGATGTTCAGATACCAAGTGCTGTACTCGGTACAAGTACAAGTACATCTACAGATACTTTTCCAGCTCCAAGGCTAGACCAGAGAAAAACTCAAAATTTAGGAGGCAGTCATTTTAAAGGAGCATACGGAGCTCCTGGGATTTGTGCATCCCTGTTTTAATGTATGGGTTTTTAAACAAAATATATATTAGGGATGCACCAATACCATTTTTGTAAGTAGAAGTACTGATACTTGTCCAAGTACTCAGAAATACAAGTACTGATAAATATTTATTTTTTGCTTATTGTCATGTGGCAGTTTTTCTTAAACAATACAGACTAATGATTTCAGGACAGTGGGGGAGCGCCAGAGCCAGGTCCCAGCTGCAATCTCTGCCACCCTGGTAGTTCTTGTGAAAATGCCAAGTATCGGCACTGGTATCTGAACTGGCATCTGAACATCCCTAGTTCCTCTTTAACAAAATGAATAAAAGGTGAACATAGTATGCACCACTGTCGGTGTAAAGTGGTTTGCCTCAACACTCTATCTACCACTTTTGCTGGAAAGCTTTGTCAGTTATAAAAAGTGGAAAACTGGTGATTACTCTGGCAGGATCAACAGGTAATACATGAGCTTTAAAAACAAGCCATTACAATACTTGCATCATCACATAAGATAAGTACTTAAAGTAGCATTGGGGGGGGGGGGGGCGGAGCTGCCTTTAATGTCACTTTAAGTTCCAAATGATTTGCAATTCTTCTCAGACTTTACCCCTAATAAGATGCATAATAAACCCCGATTGACATTTTATAGCCACCCAGTATCTACATCATTGCTTTGCTGAAGATTATAAAAAGATCATATCAATATGTATTTCATGAAAGCAGAATAAGGTATTGTAAAATACATTCAATATTTCCTAATACATCACTTGGCTAAAAGGTATTTGTTTTACAGTATGTTTGATCAATCAATTAGCAAATAAATACATAGACACTGCAAAACAGATACATTCCTGTATGCTCTTGCAAGGGTGGAGAGGGGGGGGCTTGCTTTCTATCACATAAATGGTGTTTAGATTATTAAGATTAAATGACAAAATAACTAAAGTCAAATCAGGATTCACATATTAAGTAACAAATCTTACCCATCACCTTAATCACGTCAGGGATGCGTTCTGGGTCTGTACCAGATTAATCTGGGAAGGATTAGAAAAGGTTCACATAGCCTCAACTTGACTTTAGAATTTAAGATGTGCATGATACCATCAGATTTATTTCCACCAGCTAGTTTGTACACACTACAGAACTTTGATGATACTGTTACTCATTCTAATCAGCTGACAAAGGCAAAAAATAGGGGAAGTGTATAGCTGTCAATAATTGAAATCCCAGGAAAGAAAGTTTATAGACACAAGCTGACCTGCTGAACAACAATACACTCAGTAGATACTTGGGATAATATATTTTGGTCAAATCCCACAACAGCTGATATCAATCCTTTGTGAAACTATTTAACTAATTATATGCTATAACTCAAGGGCAACACAAAGAACGTATCCGTGAGAGGATGAAAATGTAGACTTTTTATTTCTGCACATTTTAAATTGGAAGTGCCTGAACAAGGACCTTCATGCCAAGATCGCCTGGTATTATTTATAAGAAGCAAGCATATTAAGAAGGGTTAAAAACATTTTTGAAATAACTAACATGTAAACCCGCATTTACACCTGAGCGTTTTGTCACGTTGGTGAACATTTGTACGCATTTGTGTGCCGCGCATCCCCATTGAGTTCAATGGGTCCTGCAGGCGCAACAGAAGTGGCAAAAAAACCTCACGTTCTGTGGTTTTTTTTCTTCTGTGTTTGTGCACATTTTTGTGCGTGCAAAAGCGGCGAAAAAATAGATGCCATTAGAAATCAATGGCACGGCAAGCACATTGCTCGTTTTGCCACGTCTCCATGAATGCACAAAGACGTACACTTTGCATGCATGCATTCATGGAACAAGCAAGGGTGAATGCGGGCTTAAAGTTTATATGTTATTTTAGTAAATAGGCTTTTTTTTTTTTTTAAACAACACCTGAACTTCTAGGCTGATTGATTGGTAGGCTTTTGGGATCAGGCCACTTTTGCTGGTACAAATGTTTTAAAAATATTCCATTTCAACTGGAAAACGTTTGTATCTAGGGCATTATAAATGCAACACATGTCAAAAAGGTGAATTATGACACACGTAATGTAGCCTCCTGCATCAAAAATCACAAAACCATTTAATTTTAGTTCTGGGGAGAGCAAGAAACTGTTGAATCCTGTTAGGTTTGTATTGCCGTCTGTGTCTCTAGCTGGGGAGATGTACTCCCTGGAATAGATGGGGAAAAAAAATTTTTTGGTGAGAACTACCATAACTGCAGGGTATTAAACACACCAGAGATCACATTAATGTTACAGGAAGACCTTGATAAAATAGGGTAGTGGGCAACTACATGGTAGATGAGGTTCAATATAGAAAAAATGTAAAGTTATGCATGTGGGTGCTAAAAATATACACGCAAGATACTTATTAGAGGAAATCAGAGATAGAAAAAGATTTGGAAGTCCTGCTACACCAAAGACTTAGCAATAGCATGCAAAGCCAGGCTGCATCTATCAAATCAAGTAGATTATTATCATGCATTTAAAAAAGGATATTTATTCTAGAGACAAATCCATAATTCTACCACTTTACAAAACACTGGTTTTGCCTCACCTTGTTTATGAGGTTCAGTTTTTGGCATCAATCAACAGCAAGGATGTCCATGAACTTGAGAGTGCAAAGACCAACAAAGTTGGTCAAGGGGCTGGGGGACCTAAGCTCTGAGGATAGATTGCAGGAATTTAATTCATTCATTCTGAAGAGGCAGTTAAGAGGGGATATGGTAATTAGAAAATGCAATCAAACAATCTAAAACAGGCAAAGCCCCCGGCCCGGATGGCTTTACACTGACATATTACAAAAAATTCCCCACCATACTTCATCACCCACTATTGGCAGCCTGGAACTCAGTCCAGGCGGGTCAGACGC